CCCTAAATCCTACTAAACCCTAAACCCTAAACCCTAAACCCTTCTTCTCCGCACCTGCACCCAGGCCCCACCACCCTGCCAGCTCGCGGGGCTCGAGGCTTTGATTCGGGAAGGTAAGATAGCTTTCGGCCTTATAGGGTTTACGGTTTAGGCCTTATCGGGTTTACGGTTTAGGGTTTAGGGTTCAGGGTTTAGGGCTCAGGGCTTAGGGCGCAGGCATTGGTAGAGCTTCCGGGCAGCTTAGAATAAGGCTTGGGGTGAGGGTGTAGAGTTCAGGGTCTATACGACTTCTCGGTAAACTGAAGTAGGGCTCAACAAGTTCCGGTACGTGTATGGGGACACACGCACACACAACTCGCGACCTGAACCCCCCTAAACCCTGAAGCCTGAACCCTACACCCGAAACTACCAAACCTTGCAAAACCCTAAGGCCCCAAAACGCCCTTTAAACACCCTGAAAGCCCTCAACACCCATCCCCCCCCCCTCCCCAAAAAAACTTTAAGCCCTGTAAAAAATAAATAAATACTAATAATACTAACAAAAATTCTAATTAAAAAAATAATTAAATCAAAGAAAGAACTCAAAGCCCTGAATCCCAAACCCCGCCTCACATCGCGAGGCCGCGGAGTTGTAGGTGATGGTGCTCGGACGCAGCTTCTGCCTGGGTCAAGGGGGTAAAAGGAGGGTTTAGGGTTTAGGGTTTAGGGCTTAGGGCTTAGGGTTTCTAACCCCTACCTAGCCCCCCCTGATATACCGTATATAGCCCCCGAATACACCTGAGTAGCCCCTACATAACCCCTAAATAACCCCGAAGGTCCCTAATAATGGTCCCTCCTTTAGTCCCTTTGACTGGATTTAGGGCTTAGGGTTTAGGGGTTTAGGGGTTTAGGGTTTTGGGTTGAGGGTTCACGGGTTTAAGGATTGGGTCTAGGGTTTAGGGTTTAGGGTTTTAGGGTTTAGAGTTTAGGGGGTTCGGATCGATGTTTCGCGCTTGGAGAGGTTCCGGGGGTGCTCTCGCAGCTCTCGGGCTTTGTGCTTTCCCAAGCCCTAAGCCCCAAACCCAAAACCCCTGAACGGCCCTGAACCCGAAACTTAAACCCCGAACCTACAAACCTCTAAACCCTCAACCTCTTGCCCTGAGCCCCCAAAACCCTAAAGCACCCAAACCCTAAACCCTAAACACCCTGAAATCTAAACCCCAGACCTACAAACCGTTTAGACCCTAAAACCTAAACCCCTAAGCCCGAAAATCCAAACCCTAAACCCCGAAACCCTTAACCCTAAACTCTAAACCCTAAACCCTAAACTAAACCCAAAACCCAAAACCCAACACCCAGAACCCAAGACCCTAAACCCTAAACCCTAGACCCTAAACCCCCCGAACCCCAAAGCCAAGCTTGGCCTGCGGAGCTCGCACAGCGCCATGGCCACCAGGGGCCAGCCTCCGCCGGCCTCAGGGTTTGGGGTTTAGGGTTTAGGGTTTAGGGTTTAGTTTAGGGTGTTGGGGTTGAGGGTGCACTGTGACTTAGGGTTTCGGCTAAGGGCCCAAGAAGTAGGTAGGGCTCTCATTACTTCGGAGCTGTGGGAGCCTGGGGGTACTGCGCAAACAAACTCCCCGCACCCAAAACCAACTAAACCTGGCAACTCGATGCACTACGAAGCTGAGCCTGCAGGCCTTCCAATAAGGTTTAGGGTTCAGGGTTTATGGTTCGGGTTCCCTAAACCCCAAAGCCCAAAGTGGCTTCTGCCGAGCCCCGGGCGGCCATAGCCGCATTGGTTGAGATGACATCCTCGGCCACACGACTGTGTGAACCCTCAACGGAGGTTTAGGGTTTAGGGTTTAGGGCTTGGGGTTTGGGGTTTGGGGTTTAGGGTTTAGGGTTTAGCCCTCAACAGAAGTTGATCCAAACCATGGGCCCTTCTGGGGTTAGGGTTTAAGGTTTGGGGTTTAGGGTTTTTGGGTGTAGGGTTTGGGGTTCAGGGTTTAGGGTTTAATTCCATAGAGTTTAGGGTGCCGGCATAACACCCCCCTAAGACGCTGAAACCAAACCGTAAAGCTCAAGCACTGACACCTCGAAACTCCAAGACTCCTACCCTAAAACCCCTAAACCTGAAACAGCTAAACCCCCCAGCAACCTGAAGCCCTGAAAGCTTGACAAAAACAGCCTAAAGCACCAAAAGTCACCCACAACACAGAAGACAACACAAAACAGAACACACTTAACCCCTAGACGCCCCAAGTTCTAAACCCGAAAAATTGAAAACACACACCGGAGAAAAAAAAAAAAGTAAACATAAAAAAAAAGAAAGAAAGAAAGAAAGAAGAAGAAGAAGAAGAAGAAGAAGAAGAAGAAGAAAAAAACACACACACACACACACACACACACACACACACACACACAACACAAAAACGCCAAACAACACTTACGACTCCCTTGGTGCCGAGGTGCCGTCTGCAAAGCCGCTGCTTTGGCAGCGGCCACGGCCTGGAGAGCCTCTTCTTGCGGGGGTTTAGGGTTTAGGGTTTAGGGTTTAGGGTTTAGGGTTTAGGGTTTAGGGTTTAGGGTTTTAGGGTTTAGGGTTTTAGGGTTTAGGGTCTAGGGTTTAGGGTTTGGCGTCTAGGGTTTCAGGGCACCGAAATCCCTAACTTAAGGTCTCCTAGAACCCCATCCTTTGGCCCTACTCAAGCCGCGAAAAGGCCTTGGACCAACCCTGTGAGAATAACCTAAATCCTCGACCCTGTCAGCCCTAGAAGCCCTATGAACCCTATAAACCCCCCGGAAGCCCCACAAAACCCTATAAACCCTTTCAACAACCCTTTTTACACACTTTTACACACTTTAAACCCTATAAGCCCTCCCAACCCTATAAACCCTACAAACCCTGCAACCTCCTTCCCAACCCTAAAACCTTACCCTCACTCCCCTCCCCCCCCAAACCCCCTAAATCTTAAACCCCAAACCCTAAATCCCAAACCCCAAACCCCAAACCCTAAACCCCCTAAACCCTAAACCCCTAAACCCCTAAACCCCTAAACCCCTAAACCCCAAACCCCTAAAACCCCTAAAACCCCTAAAACCCTGAAACCCTGAAACCCTGAAACCCTAAAACCCTAAAACCCTAAAACCCTAAAACCCTAAAACCCTAAAACCCTAAAACCCTAAAACCCGAAAACCCTAAAACCCTAAAACCCTAAAACCCTAAAACCCTAAAACCCTAAACCCCTAAAACCCAAACCCCTAAAACCCCTAAAACCCCGAGAGAAAACAAAACAACGACAAACTGGACGTCCCCGGCCCAAGCCCAGGCGCTGCCCCGCGCAGCTGCAGCTGCAGAGTTGGCGGAGACGAGGTCCGAGCGCTGGGAAGAAGCCTGGGGTTTTAGGGTTTTAGGGTTGTAGGGCTTTAGGGTTTAGGGCTTATAGGGTTGAGGGTTGAGGGTTTAGGGTTGAGGGTTTTCATATGGGGTTGAGGGTTTAGGGTTGAGGATTTAGGGATGTTGAGGGTTGAGGGTTGAGGGTTTAAGGTTTCGGGTGTAGGGTTGAGGGTTTAGGGTTTAGGGTTGAGGATTTATTGAAATTCTTTAGAGATCCCATTCGAAAGAAACTTGTTTCGAGGAAAGTTTCGATCAAAGTTTCGAGGGGGGTTTCCTTGGTTGACCTTCTAAGAATTTCAAGTTACTGCGGCTTGAGGGTGTAGAGTTTAGGATTTAGGGTTTAGGTTTATAGGGTTTACAGGGTTTATAGGGTTTATAGGGTTTATAGAGTTTATAGGTTTTATAGGGTTCAGGGTTTAGGGCTCAGGGGCGTTGAGGTGTGTCAGGGTTTTGGGCTCGTAGGCTTTCGGGGCCCAGGGTTTCTGAGCTATACGGGTTTTCGGGGGCTAAGGGTTTGAACCCTAAACCCTAAACCCAAAATCCTAAACCCTAAACCCTAAACCCAATTTTACGTTGGGGGCTACTTGGGGGCAGCTTGGCAACGCGCAGAAGGCTGAGGACGGAGATGGCGGTCGCCCAGGCGCGCTCCTGCTACTGAGAGTTTAGGGTTTAGGGTTTTAAGGGTTTAAGGGTTTAAGGGTTTAAGGGTTTAAGGGTTTAAGGGTTTAAGGGTTTAAGGGTTTAAGGGTTTAAGGTTTTCAGGGTTTAGGGTTTAGGAGCATAGTGATGGTCCCTTAGCGTGGGCCCCTGAAAGGGGGCTCCTTATATATACCAGGGACCGGGCCCGTAGAACTACCCTTAGATAGTGGGCGTGTAGATGACCTTAAGCCGCCTAAACGCTAAACCCTACTTAAGTCATATACCTTCAACCCTCAACCTTCCACCGCGGGTTTAAGACTTTGGGTCTAGAAGTGAGGGTTTAGGGTTCAGGGTTGTTGAGGGAGGTTCCCTGCAGCACCACGCAATGGAGCCTTTTCACAAAGGGAAGCTCCTGATTTTCAACGCATCTCACGTCCCCATCAGGTAGGCCAAAGCACTAAACCCGGGGGAAAACAACAACTCCCAATGGAGCATGCTAGGGTTCAGCTGTTCCCGGTTCAGGGCTTAGAGCCCCTGCGAGGCCTTTAGTCTTCGTCTTCCCTCACAAGATTTTGGATATGGGATTGTATCGTGGATCTCACAGGCGGTATACTTGACATTAAGCGGATGTATTCACATGGATACTTGTCTGGAGCGATTGAGTAGTTTTTAAAATCGTAGGAAACAAGCTGTACTTGGCTCGACCAAAGTTCCTGGGCACAGGCCGCAATCGCGACGTTGAAGTGGAAGACCTGCCAAAATTCAGGGTTAAGGTTGAGAGCTTCTCGGTTTCATATAGGGCTTTGGGCTTGGAGTTTATAGGGCCGAGATGATGCAGGGTTTTGGACATGAAGAAGGTTCAAGATTCTCAGAGCCCATTGGGCTTGCACGGGGCTCGTAGGGTTTCGGGGCTGGAGGGACCCTAAGACAGATTTAAGCCCAAAATCCCCGAAAGCCCTGAAACCCTCAAACAGGCAGCTCGCGATCAGCAACTGCTCCGATTTTTGCTGCCCGCGTCGCCAGTCTTTTCCTGCTCGTCTCGGGCGTTGAAGTCTGGGACCTCAGGGGCGTATCTTTGCCCTACATGCTGCAACCGATGCTCCTACACCAAACTGGCTAAAACCAGAAACAAAAATCCTGAAAAAACGCACTGAAACCCATGCAAACCCCAGGCCGGTTCTTAAACCCCAAACCCTAAGCCCTTGAACCCTAAACCCTGAGCCCTTAAGCCCTTAAACCAAGTTTGTCCTTGAAAGCCCCGGCCTGTAGGCCTAAACCCTAAACCCTAAACCCTAAACCCTAAACCCTAAACCCTAAACCCTAAACCCTAAACCCTAAACCCTAAACCCTAAACCCTAAACCCTAAACCCTAAACCCTAAACCCTAAACCCTAAACCCTAAACCCTAAACCCTAAACCCTAAACCCTAAACCCTAAACCCTAAACCCTAAGCCGGCCTGCAGCCAGAGGCGGAAGAAGAGGCGTGGCGCCTGCGTGTCGTCGACGAACCTGGGACTTGGGACTTCGCTTTTGGGTCTGTTTTGGGACCTCTGTACATTGTCTAGGGTTTAGGGTTTAGGGTTTTAGGGCTTTAGGGCTTTCGGGTTTTAGGGTTTTGGGGCTTTGGGGTTTTCGGGTTTAGGGATCATACATCCTATGCTACGCTGATCTCTCTTTACGTTGATGTGGCAGCATTTGAGCACAGGACCAGAAAACAAGGCTAACGTACACCCTGAACCCTAAACCCCTAAACCCTAAACCCTAAAAACCCTACAACCCTAAACCCTGAACCCTGAAGTAGACCCAAGAGTAGCCTTGGGATAGAAAGCGAACCTAAACTCCAAAAAGAGGAATAAGGGCCAACTCTGGGCCCCAAGGTAGGATCGGCAAAATAAAGCTCTTCTTGGTCACCTCCATTTGGGACTGAACCCCTTAGCGTCAAAACAGCCAACAACCCTAAACCCTAAACCCTCAACCCTCAACCCTCAGCCCGAACCCTAAACCCTAAACCCGCACCCTAAACCAAAAACCCTAAACCGGGTTTAGGGTTTAGGGCGGGAGGGTCCGAATCAATTTGGTGAGGGTTCTGGGGCTTTGGGGTGAGGGCTTGCAGGGGGGCTTTGGGTTTTAGAAGCGTCCGCCCTAAAACCCCGAAACACGCAAACCTACCCCCCAAACCGAGTTGGTCTTTTTAGAGATGTAGGGAAATACTACACCGGGCCTTTGGGCCTTGTGGGGGGGGGGGGGGGGGGATAATTTCGGATTCCCGGGACGCTACACCCCAAACCCTAAACCCCAAACCCCAAACCCTAAACCGCAGCTTTCTCCCAGAAACGCGGTGCGTGCATGGAGCCAGCGGTAGTTGTCCACCTTGTCGTTTTGGAGGTTTCAGGGCCCTTAGGATTTAGGGGACTTAAGGGTTAGGGTTTGGGGTTGAGGGGGCTTGGGGGCATTAGGGTTGTAGGGCTTTAGGGGTTTTAGGTGTCTTAGGGTCTTAAGGCTTGAGGGTTTTGGGGATGAGTATTCGTTTTCGCGATTTCCTTAGTACGATAAGCAATGTTGTATATACCCTTTATGTGGGGGGTTGCGATGGAAGGTGCTGAGGGTTCGGGTTTAAAGGCTTTAAGGGATTTCCTGCCAATTTCCTTCCACGGTAGCATGCTACCGGGGCATGCTACCGGGCTAACGGAATTAGAATAGAGTCCAAGAACTTGGCCTTAAACCTAAAAAACCCTAAACCCCCAACCAGAAACCCTAAACCCCAACAAATTTTCGGATTTAGGGTTTAGGTTTTGTTTTTATTTTTTTTTTTTTTGGGGGGGGGGGGGGGGGGGGGGGGGGGGGGGGGGGGGGGGGGGGGGGGGGGGGGAAGGGTTCCTCCTGTCAACAAGGCCCCCGGAAACCCCAAAGCGGCTCACAACCCGCCTTAAACCACAGATCCGCAGCCCTTCAGCCCCAACATCCCAAACTCGTAATAACAAAACCATAGTAGGAATAGCAGAATCATAATGACAATACACTATGAATCGTGAAAATGAAAACTAGTCAGAATTCTGATCCCAATATGACAAAATCTGTTGGGGTTTTTGGGGCTTTGGGGACTTGGGGTCTTGGTTGTCTTGCTTGTCTTGGGGGTCTTGGGGGTCTTGGGGGTCTTGGTTGTCTTGCTTGTCTTGGGGGTCTTGGGGGTCTTGGGGGTCTTGAGGTCTTGAAGGTCTTGGGGGTTTTGGGGTCCGGTGGGTCTTATGGGTCTTGGGGTTTTGGGGTATGGTGGCCCTCCACACTGACCCACTAAACTTTCCTATCACAGACCTTAACAAACAACAAACGAAAGATAAGGCAACAAGCGAGCGAATGATAAGGACAACAGTAAGAAGAAGGCATGGTTGATAACAAAAAGAAAACGCCCCCTGACACAATTTGGCGGTTTTCCAGAATAGGGGACCCCTAAATTAGAGCCACAAATAGCAGGATCCCCTTATAATAAGGACCCCAATAAGGTACCCCTAATATAGTAAACTCCCATTCATCAACATCAGCGCAGCCGCCAGATAAGCCTCCCCAGTCGTAAGATCCTCCCGGCGGATGTGAGCTTTGGGGTGTTACATAGGGCCTTAAGACTCAAATAGAGTTTATGGGGTTCAGGGTTTAGAGTTTATAGGGTCCAGGGTTATTCGAGTACATATATATATATGTATACATACATACATATATGAATATATATATATATATATGTATATATATATAGAGGCACCCATGAAAGAACACCACTAGTCTGTCTTCCCCCCTATATTGAACCCCAAAGCCTTCGTCCTGAACTATCGATTTAGCGCTTCGGACAATCCCCACACCGCGGTCCCCCTAAACCCTAAACCCTAAACCCTAAACCCTAAACCCTAAACCCTAAACCCTAAACCCCGAAATCCCCACGGCGCGGTCCCAGTGCTGAACCACCGCAGTGTCGCTGCAGACCTCCTCGAGCTCAGCAAGCGCCGTCCGCACCTGAGGATGGCTTTCGGGGAGTTTAGGGTTTAGAGTTTAGGGTTTAGGGTTTAGGGTTGAGAGTTTAGGGGTTTATTGGGTTGAGGGTTTAGGGAGGAGTTTATAGGTTTGTTAAGGGTTTCGAGGTGTAGGGTTTAGGGGTCTAGGAGCTTGCGGGACTGATGGGAGTTTAGGGTTTGGGACTTGCAGGGTTTAGAGTTTTGGGGGGTCAGGGTCTTTTGGACTTAGAGGAAGTTGGGGTTTGTTAGGGGTTTCAGGGGTTTCGGGCTTCGAACACAATGCCCTAAACCTGCGCTTCCTTCCTAAACCTCAAACCCTCAACCCGTGCTTTGGGAGGCTATTGGGATGGGGATTCCGGGTGGCGGGGGAGGGGGGGGAGGGGGCCAGCGCAATTCTTAACTACCCGCCCCCCTACCCCCCCCCCCCCTACCCCCCACCCCCCCCACCCCCCCCCCCCCCCCCCCACTACCCCTAACCCCCCACCCCCCCCCCTACCCCCCCCCCCCCCCCCACCCCCTTTTTACCCCCCCCCACCCCTACCCCCCCCCCCCACCCCCCTACCCCCCACCAACTTTGACATCCTTTGACCTAACGAACGCGTTTAAACCTTTCAACTATGCTCCAGCGGGGTCGGCGGCTTGAGCCGGAGTTTAGGGTTTAGGGTTTAGGGTTTAGGGTTTAGGGTTTAGGGTTTAGGGTTTAGGGTTTAGGGTTTAGGGTTTAGGGCCATTACTTATAATTCCTCACCCGCGCGCCTCCTCCTCGTCGGGGGTGCCGCGGTAAACGGCCATGATGGTCTCCACCTTCGGGTGCGAAAGGTGTAGGGGATAAGATTAGGGGGACCCTTGGGGATATAGACCCTCTGAATAAGGTCCCTGCTTAAAAGAGCCAGAAGAGGGTTCAGAAGGGGTTCCCTGTTAAGGGTCCCCTTATCCTACCTAGAAAGGTGCAGCGGGCCAATAGCACGCTTTTTCCTACCATGCCTGTTGGCCAAACCCGAATGCCTAAACCTAATCTCCAGACCCGAAACCCTAAATCCCCTAGACCTCCCAAACGCTAAACTCCAAACTCCAAACCCTAAACCTACTAGGGCCTTTTGGCGGGTTTAGCTCCATGACAGTGAGGGGCACCCTTCGGGGACACCCGCCACTGACTGTCAGATCGGTAAGGTTTGACCCTAAACCCTAAACCCTGAACCCTAAACCCCAAACCCTAAGCCCTGAACCCTAAACCCGAAACCCTAGACCCTCCCCGAGAATGCACCATGTTCTTCGCGTACTGGATGCAGGGACGGCCATTGGCCTTGGGTCCAACGATCGGCTGTCAACGTTTGGGGTCAAGTTAGTGGGAACTCTAGATTTTTTGGGGTTGGGGGGGGGGGGGGGGGCAACCCTATGCCTCAGGCCCCGAAAAACCTCCAAGGGTATGCTGCAGACTCTAAGCCCCAAATGCAAAGCTCTAAACTCAAGAGAAAAGCAACTTTACATGGTAGTTTTTTAGTTTTTGTTGGGGGGAAATAGGTCCTGTACGGCTTGACAACTTCTTGAGGGCTTCAGAAGCCGGGCGTTCCGGGGGCCTTATGAAGGGCAAAATGGGGTGGGGTTCAGGGTTTGAGGGTTGACGCTTTCGAGTTCGGATTGAAGGATGCCCCGGCGCCAAGCAGCGCCGATATTCGAACACAGGAGCCCTCGAACCCCAACATTCCATTTCCCCCGAGCCTTAAACCCTCAAGCCAACCCCATGCAGCAAACACCTAAACCCAAAGACCCTGAACCCTAAACCACCCAACCCAAACCCTAAACCCCAAACCTAGAACCTAAAATTGCCAAACAAAAACCCAAACCCTAAACCCCCCAAACTCTCCAAAACGTCCTTAAACATCCTCAGAACCCTGAAAATCCTAAACCCCCTCAAGTTTAGGGTTTAGGGTTTAGGGTTTAGTGTTTAGGGTTTAGGGTTTAGGGAAGAGACATCCCCAAAAAACGCAGCCCGGGCCGCATCCTGGTAGGCCATCGGCCTCTCCCGGTCGCCCCGGGCGGGCTGGCGCCAGTCGGGATGGTACTCCACGGACTGCGCGTCGTACTTGAAGCCCCGCTCCTGTTGAAGGAAGATGCTTCACAAAGCCCTTAAGAAGCTTCATTAAAGCCCTTAAGAGGAACCCAAAAGCCCTAAGCCCTCAAGCCCTCAAACCCTAAGCCCTAAACCCTCAAACCCTCAACCCTCAAACCCTAATCCCTAAACCCTAAACCCTGGGAGTTGTTGGGGAAGTTTAGGCCACTCAGGGTTCGGGCTGTAGGGCTCTTGGGATGAAGAAGGGCGACTGCTTTGTACAGGTGCATGGTTTAGGGCTTCGGGTATAGGGTTTCGGGTTTGGGAGGTTTAGGGTTTATGATTTTAGGGCGTTCTGGGATTGAGGTGATTGTGATGGGTTTTTCAGGATTTAAGGGTTCATACAGTCAAGGGCACAGACTTATCCCAGCTTACGTTCCTTTTGCTCTACTTAGAAGCCTAACCGACCCTAGCCCTAAACCCATTCCCGTAGGTTTTGACAAGGTTTGTAGCTGCTTACCGTGCCGCAGGGGTCTACCCATTCAGGGGCTACAGGAAGAAGAGCTTCGGGCTTGAAGAAAAGCTTTCTCAAACCTTAGCCCTGTCCTGAGCCCCTCAAACAAGCCCCCCCCAAGCCCTGAAGCTCTCAAACTGCCCCGGGGCGCCACAATCTTCAGCAGCGCGGGCTTCTCCTGCCTTGGACTCTCTGAAGTTTGGGCTTCGGAGTTGAATTGCATAGAGCGTGTGCTTGGGGGATAGGATCTGTTGGGTGGGGTTTACGGTTTGGAGCAACTCTGAATCCAAGAATCATCAAGCCCCCCCTTGACGTCAAAACCGTCCTCCAAAGGCCCCAAATTCCCATCAACCCAAACCCCCATCCTAAACCCTAAACCCTAAACCCTAAACCCTAAACCCTAAACCCTAAACCCTAAACCCTAAACACTAAACCCTAAACCCTAAACCCTAAACCCCAAACCTTAACCCCCTAAACCCTAAACCCTAAAACCCTCAACCCTCAACCCTAGAACCCCATCTTGGGGCAGCTGCAGGCGCGCGTAGATCTCGGCTGCGCTGGCGAGCCTGGGACCCGAGACCCCCCCCCTGCCTGGAGCCTCGGAGGGGGTGAGGCCTTGAAAAGTCGAAGCCCCTGTATGCCCTCAAGGGGTTTTGGGGTTTTGAGGTTTTTGGTTTTGCGGTTTGGGGTTTTGGGGTTTTGGGCTTTGTGCTTTTGGAGTTGTGGGCCCTTCGGCAACCCCAAAATCCTTAATGTTGCACCCTGTTTGGTGTGGTCCCCCCAAACCCGAAAGACAGTCGACGCTGGCTCTCTCTCTCTGTTTATACGGTCCAGGGGGTTTATATGATTTTGATAGTCTAAGCAAGTTTAGAAGGGACAGCGATGCCCGGCGCTCGGCAAGTGAAACCCTGAACCCTGAACCCTAATTTCGTTGAAGTGTTGTTTCAGACTGATACTGTACAAAAGGCATAGAGGCCCGCATTGCCAGCCTCCTTGCCCGTGGATCGACCGACCACGCAAGTCCGGATGAACACTGAACGCTAAACCCAGAACCCGAAACTCGAAACCCTAAATCCTGAACCCTACAGCCTACACCCTACACCCTACACCCTAAACCTTAGGTCCTAAACCCTAAACCTAAACCCTAAAACCTGAACCCTAAACTCTAAACCCTAAACCCTAAACCCCAAACCCTGAACCCGAAACCCTAAACCCTAAACCCTAAACCCTGCTGAACCCTGAAAAGCTGTTGGGAGCTCGGCGCTTGCTGGCGCCGCCCTCGGCAGCCGGGCGCACGCAGATCATGGCCAGGATGTCGCACATCCTTTTCGCTGGCCCAAGAGGCCTCCTATTGCACCAACTAGGCAGGGTTTAGGGTTTAGGGTTTAGGGTTTAGGGTTTAGGGTTTAGGGTTTAGGGTTTAGGGTTTAGGGTTTAGGGTTTAGGGTTTAGGGTTTAGGGTTTAGGGCTTAGGGTTTAGGGTTTAGGGTTTAGGGCGTAGGGCTTAGGGTTCTAGGGTCGAGGGAGCAGCCAAATTACCCCAAGTTATGGGCAGCCCTAGATGGGCTCCAGGGCCCTTCGCATGCAGCAGACGCAGGCAACGTACTTCTCATGCAAGCGGGACAGACTCGCCCGAAGCACTAAACCCTAAAACCCATCAGCCCCGCAAGAGCTCTCCAACTCTCCCAAAAGGACCCTTCCTCAACCCACCCTAAACCCTAAACCCTAAACCCTAAACCCTAAACCCTAAACCCTAAACCCTAAACCCTAAACCCTAAACCCTAAACCCTAAACCCTAAACCCTAAACCCTAAACCCTAAACCCTATACTGAACCAAGCCAAAGAGTCCCCTCACCGCGGGCCGAGGGAATCGAGCCATCCACATGCAAGAACTGATCCTGGATTTATAGGGGCTTGGGGCTGTTTTATAGCCTTTAATGATGTAGGATGTATGTGGGATTTGTAGGGTAAGTTATAGGGCTTGGAGCTTTCTATAATCTTGGAGGATTTAGGTGAGTAGTTCTGACTTTGGGGGGGGGGGGGGGGGGGCTTCTTATAAGGTGCTGTACTAGGATGTAGAGGTGTTTATCAGGCTGATAGTTATAGGAGGGATTGTGGGTCTTCAGGGTTTGGGCCCGGGCTTGATACCCTACAATTTCTGACGTAGACTAAAGGGTTTAGGGTTTAGGGTTTAGGGTTTAGGGGTTTCAGCACCACGGACTATCCATAGGCAACCAGGACAATGCGGAGGTTTGACGTTTAGCCCCGACAGGGCTTAGAAATCTTCAGGATGTAGGATTGCTGGCATTGGCTCCCTAAACCCTAAGCCCTAAACCCTAAACCCAAAACCCCAAACCCTAAACCCCTATCCTTGGCGTTGCGGTAGCCCCTGCGCTTGGTATGAGTGGCGGCCAGCACTTCTGGACGGGTCGCATCCTCCACCTGGATAGAGAACCGGACATCGGGGTCATGAGGCTCGGGCTGCGATTTATAGGCCCGAATCCCCCTAAATGTAAACCCTAAACCCTAAACTCTAAACCCTAAACCCTAAACCCTAAACCCTAAACCCTAAACCCTAAACCCTAAACCCTAAACCCTAAACCCTAAACCCTAAACCCTAAACCCTAAACCCTAAACCCTAAACTCAAGCCCTGAGCCCCGGGAAACCCAAAGGAACCCCTTAAAAACGCTTGTCACCGTTAAGCCTCGACGACAGGCGAGCTTGTAGGCCGAACCTCGAAAGGCACCACCCCCCAAAGAACAAAAAAAAAAACGCACCCTAAACCCTAAACCCTAAACCCTAAACCCTAAACCCTAAACCCTAAACCCTAAACCCTAAACCCTAAACCCTAAACCCTAAACCCTAAACCCTAAACCCTAAACCCTAAACCTAAACCCTAACCCTAAACCCTAAACCCTAAACCCTAACCCCTAAACCCCCCCCCCCAACAAAATATACACCAGCCAAAAAAAAACGCAAAGAAGCCCTAAACCCTAAACCCCCCCCCCCCCAACAAAATGAAAACCAGCCATAGGCGTAATTACTTCGGCCTGGGCCTGGAAACAAACCCTAAACCCTAAACCCTGAAACCCTGAAACCCGCAAAACCTCGCAGCCAGCGGCCGAGGCGCACGGGCGCAGAGCTCCCCCAGGTCCGTGGACTGCGGTTGCAGGGCGCAGTGTAGGGTTTAGGGTTTAGGGTTTAGGGTTTGGGGTTTAGGGTTTAGGGTTTAGGGTTTGGGGTTTGGGGTTTGGGGTTTGGGGTTTGGGGTTTGGGGTTTGGGGTTTAGAGTTTAGGGCTTAGGGTTTAGGGCTTGGGGGCCTTGCAAAAAATTAATGTCTATGGCCTTATAAGGAGTATGTAGGGATGAGCGGGTACCACTTAGTACATATGTTCAAGTCAACCCCGGGTCGGTTTCGGGGGCCAAATGAATGTACCCTAAAAGGGTTTACGGTTCATCTGTTGGGATGGTCGCCCTTATACTAGCAGTCCTTCATAGGGATTCTCATAGGGGGTACTATCATCCCCATTGAGGGCTGTTGCTGTTGGTATAAGGGGGAACATCCCAATTCATATACCTGAGCGCAGGATATGTAGTAGTCTGGGGTAGATGACCACAATTTTAGGGTTCCTTTGGCCCCCGAGGTACTGGAACGTTAATTTTAGAAGTGCTAACATAAGATTTGATTGCTTGACATGTTAGAATTGCGAAGGATGCCCCATGATCACTGTGATTGCAATCAGTACGACTGTAGATGCTTTTGTGGCTTATTTAAGCTTTGGGGGGGTAGGAAGGGTTTGGGCTTAAGATTTGGAAGGGCTTCCATCATGTTTTGGTAAACAAGTGGCGACTTGAACAGGATTCAGGATTTAGGGTTTCTTGCTTGAAGGCCTTGAACAGGACCCCTCCCCCCCCCACCCCAAACACCCAAGGGCGAGCGCCGCCTGAGCCACCGCGCGACCCAAGTGCGCGCACAGCCCGAAGAAAAAGCGTTGGCAATCCTCCGTTTCAAGGTTGAAGAGTTTGGGCTTAGGGTTGGGGTTTAGGGCTCAGGGCTTAGGGCTTATAGGGGTTTAGGGCATTGCTTGGAGGTTCATGGTACTTATTAACCAAGGTCAAAAAAGATTGTAGCCAACGAAAGCCTCTCAAACACTCCCATTTTGCGCCCTTATGGAAGCTAAAGAACATGGGCCATATACACCCCTGAAGTTTCATCCTAAACCCTAAGGCCAACCAGGAAGAAAAAACTAAAAGCCATAACAGCCCCAAAAGCCCTAAAAACCCTAAAATCCCTGAAGCCCAAAAATCCCTCGAATCCCCAAGGCCCCCCCAAAAAAATCCCTAAAATCCCTGAAAACCCCCTAGCAACCCCAAAATCCCCTGCAAAACCCTCTACAAACACCCCGGCGACCCTAAACCCTAGACCCGAAACCCTATAACCCTTCGACTCGCGGCAATCCTCCTCGCCCAGCTGCTGCACCCACTGGGGGGCGAACCTCTTTGGGCGAGACATCAGGTTGAGGGTTTTGGGCTTCGGGTTTAGCATTTAGGGTTTAGGATTTAGGGTTTAGGTTGGGGTTTAGGGTTTAGGGCTTAGGGCTTAGGATTTGGGATTTAGGGTTCAGGCGTTTCGGGGTTTGTTTTTTTTTGGGGTCGTTCGTAGCGTTTAGGGTTTAGGGGGGAGGCTAGGGGTTGACGTTTATGGGCTTGGGGATTTAGGCTTGGGCTGAAGGGGCTTAAGGCTCATGCAGGCTTCAACTCAGCTCAATTACGCTCAGAGAAGAAGACGCATGTGCAGGCAAGATGCTTCGATGTTCCCTTTTGATGAACCCTCTGAAAACCCCAAACCCTAAACCCCAAACCCTAAACCTAAACCTTCTCACCGCCCTTACTTAACCTTCACAGCCCTCCACAGCTTCAACTCGCCCGCTAGTCTGCATGATTCCTCCAACCCCCAGACCCCTCGAAACCCATATGAGGGCTAAACTTAAACCCGACACCCTAAACCCTAAACCCCAAGCCCCAAACCCCAAACCCTAAACCCGAAACCCTAAACCCCAAACCCTAAACCCTAAACCCCAAACCCTAAACCCCAAACCCTAAACCCTAAACCCCCAACCCTAAACCCCTTGAAGCCCACAAAACCCTCCGCCTCATCAGCACCGCGCCGCTCCCATGCTGGAGCTCCCGCTTCACGGCCCGCAGGGCATCTTTCACTTGGTCCTGGGGTTAGGGTTTAGGGGTTCAGGGTTTAGGGGTTTAGGGGTTTAGGGGTTTAGGGGTTAGGGGTTAGGGTTTAGGGTTTAGGGTTTAGGGTTTAGGGTTTAGGGTGTAGGTTTAGTTTAGGGTTTAGGGTTTAGGGTTTAGGGTTTAGGGTTTAGGGTTTAGGGTTTAGGGTTTGCTGTGATAGGGCGTAGATGCTGTGAAGGTTAGGTTTTGGAACAAGCTCGAAAGCGTCGTGAGGTGCGAAGAGCAGCTTTGGCCCGATTGTGGAAGGCCATCTAACACTTTTCTCCCACCCCACGCCGTCCAAGGCGGCAAAGCCACCCAAACCTATTCCTTTTAGGGTTTAGGCCTAAACTCAAGCCAACTGCTTTCTTTACATAAAACTTCTTCATTCCGTCACGGCTTTTCGCAAAAAACAAGCCTCCACAGAGGGAGAAGAACCACGGGCCCAGGCCAGGGTCAGTCTGGGCAGCCAGGGGCGGAGCAGAGGAAAAGCAAGGGGTCAGGGGGTTCAGTGAGGCTAGGGAGGGGCCCACAGGGGGGGGGCCCAGGGGGCACAGGGCAGCCCCCCCACAAACCCCAAAAAGGGCCCAGGCGGGCCAGGGGGGGCCCAAAAACGCCCAGGAAGGCCCGGTTTAGGGGCCAGGAGGCCCAGGGGCCCAAAGAACCCAGGGGGCCCCAGGGGGGCCCAGGGGGCCCCAGGGGGGCCCAGGGGGGCCCAGGGGGGCCCAGGGGGGCCCAGGGGGGCCCAGGGAGGCCCAGGGGGCCCAGGGGGCCAGGAGGCCCAGGAAGGCCAAAAAAAAAGCAGGTTTTTGAGCACCCGCCCTGCCTGGCCTGGCCTGAGGCCCCCTGGTCCCTGGACACGCTGCGGTGAGGGGTCCGGGTCCTCCTGGCCTGGGGGCCTTGGGGTACCCCCCCCCGAAATGCCAGCCCCAGCCAGGGTGAAGGGCTTGGGGTTTAGGGTACTTACCTCAGTACTGGTCCCCGGGAGAACCTGCTCCGGTACCGGGCCCATCGTGGGTGCTACCGACCTCCTGGCTGCAGGAGGCGGGCAAGCGACCTGGGATAGAGGTGGAAGGGCTTAAGCGCCGCCCCCCCTCTGTTGGGGGGCTAGTTTAGGGTTTAGGGTTTAGGGTTTAGGGTTTAGGGTTTAGGGTTTAGGGTTTAGGGTTTAGGGTTTAGGGTTTAGGGTTTAGGGTTTAGGGTGTGTCAGGGGAGGGCGCGCGCTCGGGTGTGAAACACCCCGGGCCGCGCGCTCGCGTTGCCCGTCAACCCACCCCGGCCACCCAAACTATACTCTATTAGGGTTTAGGGTTTATGGAATTTACTTTCTTGTGCTCTGATGCTTGCTTTGATGTTTTTAAAGTTGCGCTGTTAGGGTTTAAGATGGGGTTGGGGGTAGCCTCGGCCCTTTTCGGGCCTTCGGCGTGTCAGGGCCCGTAGAGGCCCTTATTTATTTGAAGGTCAGGGAAACCCTTTGTGTCTGCTTTTGGATTCCCCTTCTTTAAGGGCCTCAATTAAGCATCGATTTCACTACCAAAATATCGCATTTTTCATTGCGGGTACGGGCATCCTGGGGTCCCCCTTCTTTTAGGGGGCCTTTTGAAGCCTTTTGGGGTCTCTCGGGGCCTTGTTCGGACCTTCGGCGTGTCAGGGGCCGTAGAGGCTTTATTCATTTAAAGGTCAGGGAACCTATTAATGAATTTTTCGCCAATGAGTCTTTCAATCGCTAGGGTTTAAGCTCGGGTTCGGGGTAGCCTCGGCCCTTTTCGGGCCTTCGGCAAGTTAGGGCCCGTAGAGGCCCTTATTTGCTTGAAGGCCTTCGTAGGGTTTTGCGTGTTAGGGTTTAAGCTGGGGTTCGGGGTAGCCTCGGCCCTTTTCGGGCCTTCGGCACGTTAGGGCCCGTAGAGGCCCTTATTTGCTTCCGTCGTAGGGTTTTGCGGTGTCAGGGTTTAGGCTGGGGTTCGGGGTAGTTTCGGTCCTTTTCGGGCCTTCGGCACGTGGGCCCGTAGAGGTCCTTGCTGATTTAGGGGGAGCCATCGATTTCAATACTAAAAGGCGGGCAGGGCCTAAAAACAATGTTTTCAATATTCTCATTGTGGGCACGGACAAATCTTGTGGTCCCCCTTCTTTTAGTGGGCCTTTTGAAGCTTTTGGTGGCTCTTGGCGCCTCTTGGGGGCTTCCTTTGGCCCTTGTGACAGGCGGC